ACCCCATTAACACCGTAACTACAGTGAAGTTCGGAGGTGGGAGCATCATGGTGTGGGACTGTTTCAGCTTATGGTTCTGGAAAACTTCCAATTATTGAAGTAAGGATGGATGGAAAAATGTTTAGAGACATTCTGGATTAACGTCTGCTGCCATCTACCAGGAGGAGGAAACGATGGTGGACATTTCAGCGAGACCATGAGTCCAAACACACTTCAGAGGAAGAAATAAAGCTGCTAGAATGGCCACTCAGCTGACTGGAATCCAATAGAAAATGAATAAAGAACTAAACAGAGTTTATAGAAGAGGAAGATGAAACCTTCAAGGTTTGCAGACTATGTGGAAAAATGGGCCAAAATCACTCCTGATCAATGCATGCCACCCATTTATGAGCTTCTGGAAACTTATTGCCAACAAAGACTGTTGGACAAAGTATTGTATTGTGTTTTAACACCAGAGGCAACTTTTCTAGGCCGTCATTTGGGACTGAAGCAGCTGATATTAATCTGCAGGATTACTTTCTAACTCCTGAAGGATTTCAGCTGCTGTCTTTGCTTTCCAGGCCTTTTTGTTTCCTCCTTTCTTCACTTGTTCAATACTTTTTCCCTGTTTTATTTTATCACACATAACTTAATGTCTGGAAACTATGGTTTGAATTCTTTCCATGTGTGGATGGCATGGATTGTTAGCGACATCTAGTGGAAATAACACCTCTAGAAATACATTTACTGAGAAAAACGATGTCATGTTCAATACTTCTTTCACCTGCTGTAAATATTTTTTCCTGGTTGCCATGGCAGCGGAGACGCGAACGGTTTTCTGCTCCAACCTGATTATTTGGTTAAAAGGATGTGAGATGGAGCTCAGCTGTAGCTCCGTGATAGAATTGAGTAATGGCTTTTTCTCTGCGTTTCTGTCTCAGAACCAAGTCAATGAACAGAAGCTGAATGACGATCAGCATCAGTTGAGCTGAGAAGCAACGCAGAGGCTGAAGCTTTCCTTCAGGATCCTCCTTGGGTGAGGACCCTCCTTGGGTGAGGACCCTCCTCAGTGAGGACCCTCCTTGGGTGAGGACCCTCCTTCAGTGAGGACCCTCCAGCCAAAGCTGGTCTTTATCATCAGAGCTGGGAGTCGTAGTTCAACTTCTGTTAGCATAGAGACCTTCTGACATTCCTGTTCCCCATTTAGGAGCGCTACGTTTTCCCACAATCCTTTGTTAACAGCGCAACTGTTCTAGCCGCCCTCAGAGTTGAGCATTCATTATTTCCTTACTGTTCTCTGTGGAACTCCAGCAGATGTTCTGACCTTCAGATAGCTCAGATTTTAGGACCTTCAGGTGCTGCAACATCTGGGAAACACGTTTTTTGTGGTTCTTTTTCTGAAGGCTGTAGTTCTAATTGGTCAACCATCATCCATGTTCCCATCCCATAATGTCAGAGGTTCCCCTCCTGCCCTCCGTAGGCTCCTCCTGTGGACCCCTGAGAGGAGCAGGAACAGGAGCTACAATCTGACTTCTTCAGGAGGAACCTTAGATGTTAGCTAATGTGTTAGCATTAGCTTTCCTGCAGCCAGCTATCGGCCCCTAAATGCTAACCCTGAGCAATAACCCTGAGCTTGCGCGTTCCTGCGGAGGGTTCGGTACTTCGTCACACCGAAGGAAAAAGGCGTAATTAATGCCATGGCAACGACTGCTTTCCTTTTTCTTTGGAGGGAAGAATCCGTCGTTTATAACCCCCCCCCCCACGCTTCAATTAAGGCGCCTTCTAGGGCTGAGAGTGAGACGTCACTGGGAGTGACGCTGATGGTGAAGGGTTAGCGGCTCTGGTTGGTTCGGTTCTAGATTCAGCTACACTCTATTGAACCAGACAGGAAGTTCTGCTGACATCATGATCCACCGCAGCTCTTCTGGGTCAGGTGATTTAATTCCCCCCTTTATACTTACTTTGTTCCCTTTATTATTTCTTAATCAAATAATAATTTAAACAGATTTTCTGCTTTCATCTTTTTCTCCTTCTTCAGACGTCATTCCTTTAGATGGTTCTGGTTGTTCATCAGTCCATTAGTAGGAAAGGAGACTGTGCTGCGGCACTAAAGAGGCTCCGTAAGGCGAGTCTTATTAGAAACATTAACAACACTGATCGACTTCATGCAGCTTCATACGCAGAAAATCCACAACGTCTGGATGCAAACTGTAGGAAAACATAAGAGAGGCGATGCAGAGAAGCAGCCCTGCTGCTGCTGCGCGGCCTGTAAACATGCTGAGGTGGGCTTCTGTGCTCCTATCGGAGAGGAGGAGGAGAAGGCGGGATCAAACTCCTCCAGGTGATGAGAGATGAAGGCACCGGCTTCTCTCCGCAGGCTCCGCCTCTCTAAACGTCTTCCTGTCCCACAATGAGAAGATCTGTGTGAAACATGGAAATCCTGACAGCGACCACGAGGCGGCGGCGGCGAGCCGTTAGTCGTGGCTGAAGCTCCGCGGCAGCTCATTGGTCAGAATGTGCCAGCGCTCCACCCGCCGACCCTTGTTCTTCAGGCAGTCCATCCAGTGGCGGAGGGCGTCTCCCTGGGAGCGGCAGCTCAGGCAGACGCCACCTGGACACCAGGAGGACACAGAGAACAGTTAGAGACCGTCTCCCTCTGAGGACAACCGGAGGACACAGAGAACAGTTAGAGACCGTCTCCCTCTGAAGACACCCGGAGGACACAGAGAACAGTTAGAGACCGTCTCCCTCTGAGGACACCTGGAGGACACAGAGAACAGTTAGAGACCGTCTCCCTCTGAGGACACCTG